ACCTACTTGGATACCTGGCATGGCTCAACGGAACGTCGCTCTAAGCCCATGGCTAGAGCACCCAAAGGTGAGGTGGAAGGCGGGGAGAGTACCCATGAGGCTCACATAGGGCCACGGTGTTCCAAAATGTTGTCCCAAAGGCCTAGACTGTGAAAAAGAAGAGGAGTAGTCCTTTGGTGTAGTGACCAAGGATACAATCGTGTGGTGAGGAAGTCCCAGAGGACCATGGGACTTAGTGGTCGGGCCTATGGGCCTCGATCCAGTGGCAATGTTGGCGAACACGGCCATGGGCAGAAAGGGATTTGGTGGGGACCGGAAAAGGGTTATTGGGGAAGGTTATTCCCCATGTCTGTGGGCATCCTAAGGATGCTAAGGAGTGGATTTGGGATGACCACTCATGGATGGATGGCCTAGTCTTTGAGAGACAGGATTGTGATGTAGGTGGTGTTAGACTATTGATATGACCAATGTGAATGGGCATGGCTTTAGCGTAACGGGCTGATATGTCAGTGGTACCTTGGGGTATTGGCCATGGGATTGGACATGTGGAGCACTTGGACCAAGTGCAATGGTTAAGTGGCATGGATGCCCTTCTTGGGGCTAGCAAGTCCCTAAGTCCAAAATAGGACTTATAGAGGTTGTGAGTGAGACTCCTCCATTTTGTCAGAGGTGTGGTTAAGTGACTAAAGTAGATTGGAAAATTTAGTCGTTTACACTACATTTGTGTCATGTGACAAAGCTAGTTTTTATTCTTTATGGCAATAGTTGTATACACATATGTGCATGAGATGAGGCAAACCTAGTTGTGTATGTGGGTGATCTCGAGCTTGGGTTATAATCATTATGGGTGGTGCTGAATCAAGCTTTTGACCTCATCCTTGGTATGGATTAGTTGCAACGCAATCATGCCAAATGTAACTTTGAAGCTTCTCTGTGAGACACAAAATCCCTAGGCCCCAAAGTGGAGCCGAAAGGGTGCCACGTGGTAGTGGCCAAAGCGAAAGCCAAACGAACGTAACACGTTTAGACTAAAAGCTCTGACTTGAAAAGGTCGAAAGTGGGAGTGGAACTCCCAATGAAGTGCTCGAGGAATGAGCACGAAGCGAGTAATAAGCGAGGCTCCAAAAGGGGACCCAAAAGGACCAACATATGACACGTGGAAGTGTCCGAGATGGACCCGAGTTGGAGTCTGAAGTGGAGTCCAAAGTGGAGTCCGAGAAGGACCCTGAGATGGAGTCCGAGGTGGAGTCCGAGGTGGACTCGAGATGGACCCGAGATGGAGTTCGATATGGAGTCTGAGATGGAGTCCGAGGTGGAGTCTGAGGTGGACCCGAGATGGAGTCCGAGATGGACCCGAGATGGACCCGAGATGGAGTCCGAGATGGACCCGAGGTGGAGTCTGAGATGAGTCCGAGATGGAGTCCGAGATGGACCCGAGATGGAGTCCGAGATGGAGTCCGAGATGGACCCAAGATGGAGTCCGAGATGGACCCGAGATGGAGTCCGAAGTCGAGACCGAGACTGGGACCGAGACCGGAACCAAGACCAAGACTGAGATCAGGACCGAGACCGAGACCAAGGCCGAGGCCGAAACCGAGCCTGAGCCTGAGTCCGAGTCCGAGTCCGAGTCCGAGTCCGAGTCTGAGAGGGTGAAAGCCCAAAGCATTCGTCTCCCAGACCCTGGGGGGTTTGGTGAGCTCCAAAAGTATAATAGGGGGAGGACTGCAGTAGAGCCAGTTTGGCCAGGAAAGGCCAGTTTGGCCCAGCAAGGCCGGACCCAGTGTTGGGTGATGAGCTGCCCACTGGGAAGTCCAAGACTAGAGTGAACACAAACTGACAAGCGGGGTAGCTTGGTGAAGTGTTCAAGAGCTGGCTTTAGTTCCCCCGGGAGATCGACTGGCCGATGCTCCCAGTCCAAGTGTGGGTGGCACTACCTACTTGGATACCTGTCATGGCTCAACGGAACCTCGCTCTATGCCCATGGCTAAAGCACCTAAAGGCGAAAGGCGGGGAGAGTACCTATGAGGCTTGCGTAAGGCCACGGTGTTCCGAAATGTTGTCCCAAAGTCCCAGACTATGGAAAGGAAGAGGAGTAGCCCTCTGGTGTGGTGACAAAGGACACGGTCACCCAGTGAGGAAGTCCCAGAGGACAGTTGGACTTAGAGGTCGGGCCTGCAAGCCTTGATCCAGTGGCAGTGTTGGTGAAAACAGCCATCGACAGAGAGGGACTTGGTGGGGACCGGAAAAGAGATATTGGGGAAGGTTATTCCCTAAGTCTGCGAGCATCCTAAGGATGCTAAGGAGTATTTTTTGTATATTGTTTAGTTTGTACGAGTTCTTGGTGATATCATTCGGTTTGAATAATGGTCTAGCGACTTTCTAGTGAATGATAGATGAGGTTCTTTGTGATATGCCATAAGTGATTGCTAACTTCATTGATGATGTTTTGATCCACTCAGAGAGGATGTGGTAGGAACACGTTTATAATGTTCTTAAAGTGTTGGATCAGCTACAGAAAGTTGGTTTAAAGTTGAAACAGTCAAAGTGTGTGTTTAGGTCCAAAGACACGACTTATTTTGGGTACCATATTTCTCATGAGGGTTTGCAAGTTGATCTTGACAAATTTATGGCTATTCTAAAGTTCCCTACTCCAAAATATGTGAATGATGTGCAATGATGTTTCATTTGGTCTAAAGAGCTATTAATGACTCTTTCAATTTTGGTGTATCCTAACTACACTTGACCTTTCATTTTGCGCGTGGATACTTTTGATATTTATCTTGGAAGTATATTGATACAAAAGAGCCCAAATGTGTTTGATCAACACTATCCTATTGCATATATAAACCATATATTATAACTAGTAGAGGCGAACTACTCCATGATAGAGAAAGAGTGTTTATCAGTAGTCTGGGGTTTTGGGAAGTTGAACCGCAAGTTTATAAGGTTTGGCATGACATCTAGCAGGCCGATCCTCCAAATATTGTATATATGTAATGGTTGAAAAGATTCATACAAAAGGATCGGGAACAATTCGTACCACCTATAGATCCATCGATGCCTCCTCCTAATATTCCTCTAGATCCTGGCCCATCTATGAAAAAACTTTGATAGTCTTCTATCATTTTGAGAGGAGGAGATGATGTGAGGTCCAAATGTATAGCTATGATGTTGTATACTAATATTAGCATAATGAGATTTTAGTAGCCATCTGATTAATTTCAATCTAGACCACTCGCTCCTGTATATAAGATAGGGTTTTTAAACTAATTGATATGCATATTTTTTGTATTCCCTTTCTATATTCCATGCACTCATAGTAGAGATTTCTTATCTATAATTTAAAGATTTATTGCATTCTAAGTTTGCTAGAACTTTAAATAAAATAAGAATTTTTTATAGAAAATCCACCTTAAATCCATACTATGTGCTTTCTGGCTTTTAAATATCTATTATAATTTTAAAATTATTAAGCTTGAATTAAGATTTCTTAGCAATACCATATATAGTTGTTAATGTAAGCATGGTGTATATTCTTATTAAGTTAGTAATTCAAGGGCTAAAAGATGCAATAATTGTACTATTGCACAACACAACCAAACCAAAAGATAAAAATAAAGATATATAAATATTATTGTAAAGAGAACAGTTGCAAGTATATGAAATGAAAAAGTATGTCTTTCTTGTAATTATATAATAAGTCTGGTTCAACAAAAAACTAGACTTACCTTGTCACACTGAGATGCCCACTCACCTTGGCACCTCGCCCACTTGCCTACCTCATCTACTCACACACTTGCTGTCACAGGCAAGCTCTATTTGACAGTGAACCAAACATGCCTAGTCTCACCTACCTCACCAGCCTTGGCATCTCACTTGCCCACCCACTCACCCAGCCTACTGCACCTGTGGCAAGTCTAGTTTGCTGTAAAATTGGACTTGCCTAATCCTCATCCAACTGTGGTGTTACTAGGCAAGTTCAGCTCAATAGTGAATTGGATATACTCAATTGCACCAGGCACAAATGCTTGCCTCACCTACCTTGACACCTCATATGTCCACCACTTGCCTCTTTACCATTGCACTTGTAGTGCTTTTTAGCATTTGTGGTTCATTGTTGAGAAAAAAGTTTATACATCATTATAATGCATGTAGTTTTCACCTTTTATCTTATGGTGATTTACCATAAAATAACTACAAAATAGAATGTAAACCTTTGGCCACATATCTAAGAGCAGCAAAACAAAACTTAAGGTTTAAAGTTTTGGGCCATTAAATGATAGAACAAGGCTAAACTTTTGCACATATAGCCAAGGAGCAAAGGAACCAAAACATGGAAGGACTTCTGAGTGTACAGCCTAAGGAGTAAAGGGATAAAAGCACAAAATGACATTAGAATAATCTTAGAGCATCTAAATTTCCTAATGCCAAAGTTAATAAGCAAAATGGAGCTAAATATAGTTTAGCATAATTTTAATATATTCCAAAAAAAAAACTTAATCACAAAAACTTACTAAGTATGGAATGACATTAGATGTAGGAAGAATACCATCTTATTTAAAACAATCTCTACATTCCTTTTGCTAAGATATGCCTTACTACCAAATCTATTGTAGTTTGGAGGCTGATAGAACAATAGATTTGCCAGAGAGCATTGCCACAAATCCCCGAGCAAAGCTGATGCTGACTTGCCCATCTATGTAGACATCACTCTGAAAAACTTGTCAGTGAATCTCGTTGAGGGACTCTTTTAGAGAATTGGAGCTGCCTGTCCTCAACTAAGAAACCTTGTAGCTTGTTCCCTCGTGTTTGAAGATGCTGCATCTCTTGATCGACTTTCATGTCCCACACTCAATCCATGACATCGCAAAATACATGATATGCATGTTGATCGGTCACGCAAATTCCAACCTTTGGAAAAACTTCAATGTCGTAGAGCTAGCTTCCACACTTTTGCCATCAGGCACTACACAGTCGCTACTTGCCGATGCTGTTTGGTCCTACTGCCACTGCTTGGTGCCGTTGCTTGGTGGTGCTGCCACTTGGTGACTCTGGTGCTGCTGCAGGACCTTGGAGCACCAGTTGTGCTGCCGCTGCTGGAGCTCGAGCCTACCGCCTAAATCCCATTTGTGCTGTGCCCACCCTCGCCGCCTTCCATGCCCTGGTCGCCCTCGTGGCTGCCATAGTCGCGCTGTGCCTCTCCTGCCCTGCTGACGCATTTTGCAGAGCTCGTCCTTGACATTCTCGCTTACCTCCGGTGTTTTCACTGCTCTACCAAACCAATTTTCTGGATCACGTAGAAACACGACCAGAGGTTTACAAGTCACTGAAAGCTGCTCAACAAAGAGAAGTTACTAAGATAGAAAATTTACCTCTTGCAAAGCATTAATTCTGGTGCAATAGCTAATGATTCAATTTCTCCACCTTTTCCTGTTGTTGTTCTTTCCTTTTCAGAGTAATCTTCATCATCACAGTACAGGAGATTCTTCCATATCATTGCTAATCTTCACAATCACTTGCATTTGTCATTCATTTATTATAGTTTACATATGTAATGTTATATTCTATTCACATGAATTAATTTAAATGAAATAAGATGGTGCCTTTGGTTTACGCTTCTGGTAGACGCCATTGACGATCTCCATGTCTTTCTCCTTAACTTCACCATATTGCTGGTTCCAGGCCTCGAGTTGAGTATTAACAAAGCGCGCCGTGGGGCAAACCTGCAACAACCAAACTCTCATGGTTAACTTTCTAGTCAACTCAAAAGTCAAACCTTGCACATTGACTTCTTAAAGTCATCCACACACAAGGGTCGAATTTCCACATCATCATTTACTTTCTCGTTGAGCTGCAAAGATTTTGGAAAGTTTGAGAGAGTAAGAGTCAAAGTTGTAACTACCTCAGCTTCCTTGGCCAGAAGCTCCCGCACTGGCACGTAAGCAGCTGCAGTACATAAGTTCTATATACATGGCGATACAATTAGAGGTGTAATCAAGTAAAGATTTTACCTTTAAGTCACTTCCTGAGTATCCCGTTGTTAAACGGCCCAGCTCCTCCAAATCAAACTTGTTGTCCAGCTTCTCGCCTTCCAACAAAACCTTGAGGATTTCCACGCGGCTTGACCTCTTCGGGAGACTGATCAAGATCCTGAATCGACGGAGATTACAGATAGTTGCAACGGGGCAAGCTAAGATCAGTATTACCTTCTGGGGAGACGCCGAATGACAGCTTCGTCAAGCCTATTCGTGGCTGCCAAAAGCATAACTCTCTTGTCATCTTTGGTACGAAGGCCATCCCACGCTGTCATGAACTCGTTCTTGACGCTGCGAGAGGTTTCATCCTCATTTAGCTCGCCTCTTGCTCCTAAAATGCTGTCCACTTCATCCACAAAGATAATCGTGGGTGCGAGCTTCTCTGCCAGTGTGAAGACTGCCTTGGCCAACTTTTCGGCTTCACCGTACCACTGTGATGATAGTCAAGATCAAACGCTAAAATATAAACACTTGTACCATTGAGCTGATTGTTGAGCTTGTGATGCTGATGAATGCCGTGTTTGCTTCCGAGGCAATGGCCTTTGCAATGTGTGTCTTTCCCGTTCCTGGAGGCCCAAACAAGAGCATTCCCCGGCAAGGCTGGAAGTTTTTGGAGTGTGAGAAGCTTTCACATATGTAATGAACTTGGATTACCTTGAGTAAATTTCCTTTGCTAAATAGCTTTGGCCTTGTCAAAGGAAGGATCAGAAGCTCTTGTAGTGTGGCTTTTACTTTTTTCAAGCCGCCGACATTTCTGAACGACAGTCCAGTCTCGCCAGCAGCAATCACACACGGCAAAAGCATTGTTTCGTACTCGTCGTACGTTATCTGCATATGCCCTATCCAATGTTAGCTTAGAGAATGAACATTGGCCACTGCTTACATTTCTTAAGATCTTAGTCGTTGTATTCTTTGATATCTCCAATTTGTCAACAGATAACTGGAGACTGATCATCAAATCAAAGTGAGAGAAATCTAAGTCATCAAAGAACTAAATCCAATACCTTTCTAAGGATAAGGAAGTTCCGGTTGAGCCTTTGGATGCTGAATCCAAAGCTTGGGAAATGTGGATGTTTAGAGTGTGCCCTACGATCCTCTCAGCCTCTGCAAAGTTTAAACACAACGTTACCCGGGTCTACTAAATTTAGAGTGACCTGACCCTTATCAGTGAGAGAAACCCCATGTGGGATCTTGAGATCTTTAACGCCTTTGCATTCCCAGTTGAAAAGATCAAGCACCTCCTCAATCTTTTTAGTGTTTGTTTTAGATCTATACATGGCAGAGTCACTCTTAAGCTCATCTTGCCACTTTTGAAGCATATCCTTGTCCTGGAATTACAAACATAGGCCATAGCTTGAAGCTACAGTGGTTTGAGGATTGGGTTGAAGAGTTCTTACCTTTGGTGGAACAATCTTCACCTTGTTCTCGAATAAGCTGTAAATGTCTTCAAGGTAATAACCTGTGTGCTCCGGGTGTCGGGTGGACTTGTTCTCAACGTTAATCCTCGATGCAATGAGTACTATACCACCCGAGAGCATGTCTAGCTTATCCTGCAGTTTCTCAAGGAACTCTTTCCTCTGTGTTATTGCCACAGCTCTCCGAAACCAGTCTTCCGGATCAGGAAAGTACACCACCAGCCGTGTGCACCTCTCTAAAACCTTCATAAGCGGGAGCATTACAAGATTTGCAAAACAAATCTAGAAACTTGTACCATTTGTAGATGATTGATGACGTTGCAGCAAGAATCACAGGACAATTGAAGCTCCTCAGCTGCTTGAAAACAAATCTATCAAAACTTGCAAACAAAACGTTTTACGTACGTCTACAATAGGTAACACAGCTCGTAGATTCGAATTTTACAGCGACCATGCTGCTTCTCGAAAAGACCACCGAACCCAATTGTCCGTTTTTCAAGTTATGTCTATCAGTCCAGTAAACCATGTAGTGAAGTGATGTAACTAAGTAGAAGTTTTACCTCTCAGGATCGTTGCTTCCCACGAACTTGACATAATCTCCGCTCTGGATTAATTGGGGCTTGTCCTAGAGTCGAATATTCAACTGTAAGCAATCTCAGTTGGTTTATGAAATCACGCACCTTCGACTTTACAAATGCTTCATCGATTTCATCGTTTTCTTGCCCGTCGGCATCATCAGCCTTGTTCTTCTATTTAAAGTTTCCAAGATTATAGAAGTTCTAGCAGAAACGATGCAAACGATGCTTACTATCTTATAAGGTGACAACAGATTCCCGTAGAGAGAAAGAAACGAAGCATTGAGATCCTTGGCCACAGCCATGGCCAGAGTCTCTTGATAGATCTCCGACCCTGCAGAACAAAGGATTCATGAAAAGGGGTTTCCTTGTCTAGAGATTCCTTGCCTGGTGGTCCATGCAAAGCAATCCTTGGGCTGGTGGAGTCTAGGACTTTCATCCTTTTCATCAACTCAGGATGCTGCAAATGAGCAGTGGCGCAATGGACGACCATATCTCGAGTTTCTTGGCTGCCAGCAACCGTAAGTTCTAGCCAGAACAAAAGTATAGCTTACTCAAGGTAGTAAGGAAAACCATCCAGTGACACTGTAAGATCAGTGCTTTTGATGAGCCTATCCTCCCATTCCTTTGATGGTGGATCAGTGTTTTTGGCGTCCAATTGCTTTGGTGGTGGATCAGTGTTCTTGGCCTCCAATTCCTTTGGTGGTGGATCAGTGTTCTCGACGGGCCTAGCCTCCAATTCCTTTGGTGGCTCATCGCTAGAGCCCTTGGCTTTGAGAACTTTGGATTTTCTTTCCCACAACCTGCTAAGCATTTCGCCACCCCTGAAACCCTTAGGGCTCCAACTTAAAAATATGTGAATGTAAAGGGAACGAAAATGCAAAGCCCTAATAGTCCACGCACGTGGCGAGGTATCCGCTTGGCGATCCAACGGTGGCCACCAGCCCGCCCGTCAATTTGGAGATCTTCGAGCCTGGCAACACGACGACGCGAGGTCTTTGTTCTTCCGACGATTACCCGACGCGAAATTTCTCCTCCTCCTTCGATCTTCTCTTCTCCGCGGATCTCTTGATTCATGAGCCTCGCCGCCGCGAGATTGATGATTTCGGGAGCTGTGAGGCGCGGCGGCATCGAATTCCGTGTGATTCTTGTCCAGGGTTTTGGATGGAAGCTCCAGCTCCAGGCGTGTACAAGATCTGCGGCAAGCTCTGGAATGGTACGCTCTAGATTCGAGACTCGCTGCTTGCTACATTGGCCATGGCGATCGATCCGGCGCTCGAAATTTCCCAAAATCTGGCATAGATTTCGATGTTTTCATGCTTGGATTTCGTGTCGCGCAGTCGGCCCGAGGTACCTGCTCCACGAGCACATAGGATCTGGATCTTATGGAGATGTTTGCCGTGCCACCGATTGCCAGGCTTCGCTCACTGTGGCTCTCAAGGTACGAGCTCTTGGAAAAATTATAGCTCGATGGTTTTCTTCCAGAGAGTTGGAGATGTTCTTTGCTGTCCTCTCTTGGCCAAGAGAGTTCTCCGCGAAGTGTGTATCATGCGACGTTTATCCCATCGATATGTCATCACATGTAAGCCACTTTTCCTTACTTTTTCTTTCGTTTTTGCTATAGTTCTCATTGTTCCCTTTTTAGTGACGGATGTTTTTATAAGTATGTCCATGGAAGTCTCTGGCGGAATCGATCTGTATATCGCGACCGAGTTTGCTGACGGGTTCGTCGAGTATTTTTTTCTTTCACATTCTATCGTTTGATGCGTTTTGTCCGGGATTTTTTTACAGCGGTGACATGTATCATTTGCGAGAACCATTAACACCAGAACATGTAAAGTTTTTGATGTGGCAGTTGCTCACTGGCATGAGCTATATCCATTCATGCCGTGTTTGGCACAGGTACAGAAGCTCACTTTTAACGAATGAAACTTGCGCTGATTCTATGGAGTCACAGGGACTTGAAGTCCGAGAACATACTTTTGATGGCCGATATGTCCGTTAAAATCTGTGACTTTGGCCTTTCACGGTCTGCCGAGGAGGTAAAACTAAGATAGTCACGGGCTAGAAGTCTGAAAACACCTTCTTTTGCAGTCCGCAAATACAGATATTCAGACGGGAATCACAAGCGGGAGAATTTTGAATGGTCGTAAGTCCCTGACCAGGCAATACACGAAGATGGTAATATCTTCTTCCGCTTGTGTGACCACGGCATTCTGAAACCGCAACAGGTTGTCACTCCCAGCTATCGAGCACCTGAAGTTATCATGTCCCGTGGCCAATACAGTTCTTCCATTGACATGTAAGTACTCGAGGCTGCAATTTACACACCCGTAGGCTGAAGAGAAAAAAAAATTGCTTTTTATGCAGATGGTCACTTGGTTGTATTTTCTGGGTAAGTGTTAGCAGCAACGATATCACGATTTTAAATGTTTGTTTTGTGCAGGAATTGTTGATACGGTCCATCAATCCAAATATGACGGGTCCTCCACTGCGGCCTTTGTTTGGTGTCCGGTAAACACTAGCTATTCAAGTGTTGATTCTCAAGAATGTGCAAACCAGGGAAGAACCAGTAACACCAGGACAAGGAGTGAGCTACACCACTGATGGACACTCTCCTCTTCATGAGCAGGTTCTTACTCTTGTAATTGTTCTTTTTTCTGACGCGCGAAACTGCAGTTGGATGTTATCTTTAACGTTATTGGAACTCCTGGATGGAGCGACATCGAGAGCGTTCCGAGCGAGTCCTGGAGATCGTACTTGAAACATCTACCGGGAAGAGTAAGTAGTCTCTTCAAGTTGTAGTGATTTTCTATCTTTTTCTATGTGTTCGTCTTTTTTGTGTGAGGGGTCTTAGATTTTCTCACGGCATTCTGACTCTTCCCATATTTTCAGGCAGGAAATCTGACTGAACAATTGTTAGGATACGTCGATCAAGAAGCTTTGGATCTTCTTTTCCGGATGCTTGCCTTCAATCCTGGTCGAAGGTGCACTGCCGAGGAAGCACTCTCACATATTTATGTAAGTAATCGTTTATATTTTGCCTTCTCATACAAGTATTCTATGTAGTTCAAGGGACTAGAGAGGTCAAATGGACTTTTGCCGCCTGCATTCGAAGCCACTGCTCCAGGAGAATCCCTCTGGAACATCAAGGATCCTGCGGTAGCCCTCGATATTCTAGAGGTTCGTAACTCCACAATAGCATACGACTTTCATGTTTAATGTGTTGTAAACGCAGAGAGAGCTAGAGGCGTCTGTCTACGAAAAAGATGGTGGCCGACAGAAACTGGAAAGCCTTCTTCAGCAAGAAATAGTGCAGCAAAGGCAGCAAGAACTGTTTCGTCACTCGTTGGAGTATCTGAGGCAAAATGCGGTGCCACTCTCCTCCATTCTTCCTCCTCCACCGTCACAGCCCGACTTCCGAGGTCAAGGTTCTACGAGAAGCGTTCTACTATATGGCGACGAGATCTTAGGATCCATGCAGAAGAATCTTCCGCCAGTTCCGATGACTACACGGGTGACACGAAGTTCTGCCGCTGCCGCTGCCGCTGCTGCTGCTGCTGCTGCCATCAACGTTGAAAAATCTTCGCAAGCGAGGGCCATGCGAAGCAATAAAGTGCCGAGGGAGTTACGGACACATCAGGCAGTGGTGAACGAGGAACCCAACCAGACAGAGGGTCTTCCTCGAAGATCGCCACGTCTGCGAGATCTACAAGCCGGTGATCTTCCCCACCGAAAGAGACTTTGTCTCAAAGCTGGCTGACGAGCAACTGGATGACACGATACAGTACTAGCAAACAGAGAGCCGACTCTGGATTCGAGCATCATCGTGTAGCAGAAGAACAGTGTTGAAGCCTGATAGAGCCGAGGAAATCCTCCCGGAAATGACAAATGGCTTCAAACAGGTACACTGCTGCTTCCCTGCTATTGTGATACTTGTCTGCGTCCTTCGTTTGTTTTCTTTCGCTTTGATACCACATGGATTTCTGATACAGGAAGGAAACATGGCCGCCGCGAAAGGACAGACAACAGAAACAGTTTTCTTCTCGAGTGAAAGTTAAGAAGGCTGTTATGAATGTGTACAAACGATCGATCGCTTCTGAGGTATATTGATTTTCATGGATTGCTCAAACAAACTTCGTGTTGTTTTCTGGAGATATTTTTTTTCTCTTCTTCTTCCTCGGCTATGAAAGAAAGAAGCTAGCTAGTACACTGGTCAGGTGCGATTCCCATTTGCTCTTTCTGGTTATCAATCGAGATTCTAAACGTTTGCTGCTGGACATTTCCGATGATGCTGAAGGCCTCCTCCTCAGGAGCGAAGGCCAGGCAGTACGTCCCCTCGTCATCCACATTGACGAGAATTCCATCGGCTGGAAGCGGCATCGAGGCACCACCATCGAAGTCGAGAACCACAGCAGGCAGGGTGGCCGTCTTCATGGATGAGAGATCATAGCAGGTATCGAAGAGAGAGATCCCGGGGGCCGAGGGGAAAGTTACCAGCGACCGAAACGCATCGCGTAAAGCAGTGTAAGCCGGGGTGGTGAGCCTGGAGATGGCGGTGCCAGAGTCGACGATCACACCACCAGTGCCTCTGGAACCCATGGCAAACGCATCCGGGGGGATGTTCACAGGCGAGCCGGCAACTCTGATCCTCGCGAGCCCAACGTAGTAGTACGTATCCAGCCGCCGGTTGGGAAGCAGCTTGGTGAAGCGAGCTTTCTCCGGGACAGCGCTGGGACCGAAAACGAGCGACGCAGCTATGGCGGACTCCCTCCTGGGAAGGCAGTAGGAGAAGACGCTAGCGTAGGAGGTCCCCGTCTGGGATGGAAACGAGAGTGGTCCTCGTCCCAGGCCGAGCAGCCCCGCGGCGCCGTGGAAGAGCCCCTGGTTGTTCCTGCCGCAGCCCATGGCGACGCTACGCACGGCGTGCTCGCCGAAGGAGAGCGTCTCGGTGGAGAAGTCGCCGACGGTGAAGGAGCCATCGCCGTAGCTCACCTGGTACATACACTTGTTCTTGCGGCTGCAGCCTTTGATCTTGAGCTTGCCGCAGATGGAGCTGGCGCAGGCGAGAGGCTTGAACGAGGAGGAGAGCGAGGGGTTGAAGATGGGGTCCTGCTGGCGGTAGCACTTGCGGCATGGAGAGCACTGGAGCCAAGAGACGTCGCTGCCGGTGTCCGCCACCATGTAGACGCTGCGAGCCGGCGTCCCGACTCCAATCCGAGCGAAGTAGTCGCCGCTGCCGCCAGCTATGCCGGAGATGAGTGGCGACGCGAATCCTCCTCGAGCTCCTCCGTGGCCTCGTCCTCCTCGTCCAGAGGCTAGCGCTGCTACTGCGAGAGACTCCGACTGGCCTGGGAGAGGATGGCGGAGGTCGGACTTGCGCCAGCCATTGGTGGCGAGGGCGATGGTGGCGGCGATGGCTTTGCTGCGGAGCTCGTCCTTGCGGAGGCGGGCGAGGAGGAGCTGCTTGGTGGTGGCGTTGCTTGGGCGGAGCGGGGAGGAAGGGGCGTCGCGGTGGAGCAGTGGGACGCTGAAGCTCAGCTCGTCCAGCGGCGCCTTGGCGGCGGAGGCGGCGGCGGCGGCTTCTTCTTGCTCCTCAACGGCTACGACTGGCGGCTTGGCGATTTGGAGCGTGACAAAGTCGGGCTGGCTGAAGGAGGAAGAGACCGCTAGAAGATTGAGGAGCAGCAGTAGCAGCAGCGGCAGCAGCGGTTCTAGAGCTCGTCTCCACATTGCTGGAAGAAGAGGAGGGAAGAAGAACAAGAAAAACAATCCAGCAACCAGTGCTACTACTACTACTCGCTCGCCTCCAAGAACAAAGAACACCGCCAACGATCTCAATGGAGCAGCTTTAAAGAATTCTCTCCTCTCTCGCCACTCCACAAGGGGACGACGAAGAACGAACTAAACAATTGCATACATAACATTGTTCTAACGGCTCGGCCCTGACCGTTGATGCTGACAATCCGACCGGTAACATGGCTCCACGAGGGCGGAATCAACGGTTCCTGTCGCGGCACCTCGGCGGCATATTCTTCGAGCACTAGCCATACCTTAATCAGGCTAATGAAAGTTAATCAAACTAGAGACAATGGTCAAATTTTTTCTGAAAAAGAAGGCCCTTTGTTCTTGATGTTGGCTGTCTTTGTGACTGAAAGACACATTTGTTGGATGAATGCAATGCACCACCACACCCCTGCACTCAGCTTTGCTTCATAAAAACTTATAGTGAGGGACACATGAATTCGGTGCCTTGGTGTATTCTATTCATTAAAATCTTTGCTTTTCTAACACTGGAGTTCCTCCAAACAAAAACACCTTAGATTAGCCTCGAAAGATTCTCATAACCATATGTTATTTGGCACTGGGGTGGTTTTATACTTTTTACCTACTTTGTCTTTTCTTCTTCTGGCTCTCATCTCACTTTATCCTATTGAGATTTTATAGATTAGAGTCCCATGCTCCTCAGTTGTGCTGTAAACATTTAAATTATATAACTATCAATAAACATGAGTGATAATGTTCTACTCCCTGGCTATGGTAGAAGATATCACAGTTAGGATCTTATGTTTCTAGTAGATAAGATTTACATACATGGGGTTTAGCATCAGTATTGGTAAAGATTAAATTTATTAAAATGCACAAAAAGAATTGAGTCCCCAGAAGTAGTGCTCTCTGTACACTCTACCGATATTTGCAATGCTTTTTTCACATGTTGCCAAGTGCAGGACTAAGTAGTGCTCTCAACGGCCTGCAAATGGCGATGTTGCTGCTGCTTGCCGAAAGAAAGGCTGAGTGGCCATTTGCACTTGTATCTGTTCTTGAGGATCCTGTCAATGCATTTGTGGAGAGAAAGAGTGCTGTGGTGGTGGTGGTGAGTGTTTTGCAAGGCTGATGAATCCTCTGGAAAAAACAAGAAGTTTTAGCACCGGAATCGAGATACAAAGGGCTGAGAGCTTTCCTCTCTACCTTGAGAGAGTGCTGCTAGTGCATGGTGGTGGTGATGGCTCCTTTTCTTCTTCTTGAGCGTCCTTGGCCCAAGCCCAAACGCAATGCCGTTCTTGCTCCTGTAGCATTGGAGCTCCACGCTCTGGACGTGGTCCAGGAGGTCCCCCGTGTAGCTCAGAGCGTTTCTCTCCAGGGTCTGCACGATCCATCTCGCCTCCTGGCTCAGCTTGTTCCCGGCCGACTCCACCTCCGCTCCAATGCGACTCACAAACGCGTCCGCCTTGTTGCTCATCTTCTCAAGCGTCGCCACCGTCTTCATCACCATGTACACGAGCGCTAGTGTCAGCATCCCCAGCCACAAATCATCCATAGCTGTCGTCTCGATCCTCATGGTCGCTCTGCTCGGGGATTCGGAGGTGGTCGTGGAAGAATTTGCTCGGGACTCGATCGATGATAGAGTTGATCGTGGAACTTAGTAAGCTTGCAAACAAGAGGGGGAAGAAGAAGTGATCAGCGACGGATCGATCGACCTTCTAAAACTCTGGACGAGCAAGCCGAACCTGGAAAGAGTGTGCTGCGGAGCAGACACCTTTATACGGCGAGAGCCCGGCCGACGGGTCTTTGTTTTCGCGCACTCTCCACTCATGTCTTCTTCAGAAATTGGCTGCTAATCGAATCTCCTGGAAAAAAAATACCGTGAGGCTGGACCACTGGGTAATATAGATTAATCACAAGATCACTCGCATGGCGATCTCCTCCCTTAAAAATCTGCCAAAGGCTTACCGTCCATTGGGACTCTTAGACTTTTGGACCGCCACTCAAGCCGGACGTGTCGCTCAACCAGGCCCTTTTACGGAGTCCTGCCACACCCAAACACTCAAAACTTCGTTTGTCTCCAAGGAAGGAAGAAATGACCACTGCTTACTTGGGCAAAGCTTTGCAAACCTTTGATTTCTTGATTCGGTGGGTCTGGCAAATTCCTCATGGGGAGAAAAAATCTTTGTACGCATTCCCTTTTCAATGATGGAAAACGAGCCTTGGAGAACGTTTGAGCTGTATCCCAAAAGCACCGGCTCTGAATGCTTGGCAAAGATTCTTTGCTTGGACAACCGGGATCGATGGTTTTCTTTCTTTGTTTTTCCAGCTTGCATTCTAAACGTGACGGCACCAAAGAGCGACGTATGGATTGTATGGAAAATACGAACACACGAACCTTCTATGAAGCTCTTTAGCAAGTTCGCGTCGGGAGCTCCATAGCGACGCGTGGAAACTTCAAAGTACTGTATGAGAACGCTTGCCAAAAGGTAGAACCTCTGATAACTGGAAATCCCAGACAATCAATCCAGCGCGAAAAGGCAATTAGAACAGCGTGGATTCCATAAGAGTCGGGGTTGGAACTTATCTGTCTGTGATGTCGATTGGGAAGACAATTCTCTCCAATCTACACCTTTGTTGTTGCATTATTTGCGAGTCACACCATGATGATGTCTAGGCTCTCTCTTTCAGTTGCATAGCTGCTGAGCTCCGGGAGAACACCACAAACGCATTTGTTCTCTTCCTCCAAGTGCATTTGACAGGACTACCTGAGAATAGACATCAAAATCATCATGGAAATTCCGATCAGGTAGAATCGCATCGATTCAAAGCTTGTGCAGGACTCTAACAAGGTACAAGCTTACGTAATAGGATAGATATCACCTCTTCTGAAAACCAATTCAAGACAAACATAAGCCATACCTTGGTCGAGGGAAACACGGTCTTTGAAAACTTAAGTGCTCATTTCTTGAGCCTCAGCCGATTAACACGATGTAAGCCATAGTAAAGTATCTGTCATACCTCAAGGTGTCTATCATCGGACTGAAATATGTCCTAGCAAGAACCAAAGCATACCTCTAAAGACAAGTCCTACATTCATAAACCATGTTAGCACAGGAAAGTGTAGAGTTATAAACAACCTTACATAAGTATGACGAAAGCTAATTGCGACTTCCTGAAATATCACAAAGGAACCAAACTCATCAGGGGCATTGCAAGTGTCTAAAGCGATAGAAATCTGCAAGATCGCTACCCAAAGCTGTGGAAGCTACATTTACCTGCTTGATTCGCAGGAGATCGCTGGAGACGCTACGTACTTAACATATTGCTTCGAGCAATGTTTAACGAGTCCCCAGGAACACAAACGGACTGTAATACCATGAACTTTTGAGTCATTTTGAGAGAATCCTCTCCAATCTAGAATGTTGTTGTTTTCTAGTGACTCGGAGGAGAGGTGAACACCAGGGATGCATTCGTTCCTCCAAAGCCAAATGAATTTGACAAGACTGCGTGAATGGACATAGCCTTTGTAGAGCCGATGGGTACAAAGCCGTCGTGGAAAACCCGATCGGGTAGAATCAGATTCAAAGTTGGCGGAGCTTGCCCCTGAGAAAAAATTTCACGACGAACGTAAGGTTACATGGCGGCTGGCGAACTAAGGTACAGGCTTACGTGATGTAGCGCCAAAACTGAGAAGATCGCCTCCACGGCTCCAGCAGCCCCTAGGAGGTGTCCAGTGGCTCCCTGCAAACCAATATAAATGAAGCTCAGCGGAGTCCCAGAAGCGCCATACCTTGGTCGAGGAAAACGCAAGGTTTCCAGTTACTGCATGCTCCTTAAATACAGTTTTGATGGCCACAGCCTCAACTTTGTCACCTATGCTTCAAATCAACAAGCTTTAAAAGAGCAGCAGGAATCTTTGTCATACCTCGCGGAGTCGATGTTGCGTGAGCATTGACATAATCGATTTCATTGGGTTTCAGTCCGGACTAACATGAAGTCGAGGTTAGATCTGGGTTTCGCTAACAAGAACGAAAGCTCACTTGCTGCAAAGCTCGATTCATAGCCAGAACAGCTCCTTTCCCATCTTCAGACGGTTGAGTGATGTGGTGGCCGTCACCTGGAAAACACAATATGTTAGCAACAGCATAACCATAGTGACGAGGTACCCGACATCCCATATCCACGGATTTCCGCGTACATTTTTGCTCCTCGTCTTTTTGCATGCTCATATTCCTAGAAACAAATCAGAAGTTTTTTTCTCAATACAAATCTTACCTCAAGAATCATAATGCCCGCGCCTTCTCCAATCCTATACTTACACAAGTTAGCCTCAAACACAGAAACATCCGCACTCACTTACACAAAACCTTCACGATCACTGTCGAATGGCCGTGAAGCACGTTCGGGACATGCGTTGAATCTAGTGCTTAGCGCCTTTGCTCTGGGCAAGATAAAAGAATAGAAAAGCATTATATATAATGTCACTAAGAAAACGATTGCAAACACCTGCAAACCTGGAAAAGCCCGCTAGTGAAAGCGCATCGATGCTGGCCTCCGTTCCACCTGCAATCATAACATCTGCATCTCCGAATCGAACCATTCTGAATGCATCTCCAATTGAATGAGCACCACTCGCGCATGCAGTTACTGCCGCATGGTTGGGCCCCTGACAAGAAAAATAGTTTTCATACGCACAGGGACTAAAGATCTTTCGTCCCACCTTCAGCTTATACTTTATGCTAACATTTCCCGCGGCCATGTTTATCAAGATGCGAGGAACGAAATAAGGACTTAATCTGTTACTCCGCTGGCGGCATACAAACAAGGTAGGCACAAACAAAACCGATGGAAAAACTCACATAATCACGAATGAGCTGGGCCGCCTCCAAAACATCAGTTATACACCCGATGCCACCACCTATTGCCACACCCTAGAGAATTAAGACACAACCATTACGTTCTTCTCAATGCTTTAGATGAAGAAAAAAGAAATCGCGCGTAAAAAGAAAAAGCTACCGTTCTTTCGCTGGCCTCATCACTCTCGGAAGGATTCCAATCCGCGTCAGAAAGAGCCTCAGCAGCAGCACACATTGCGTAAGCAATGAAGGGAGCAAACTTCTGCTCAGTAGAAGAGCGGAAAAAAAAAAAAAAAAGCGTTATCAAAGTATGAACTCGAAATTCCAGAAGCCTACCTTCTCGGACATCCACAGATTTGCTTTGAAATCCCCGAGCCCCGTGCCGTAGGGAACAGCAGCCACGACTTGAGAAGGAAGATTATTCATTGCCGCGGCGCGAATCGTTTCATCTTCGTGTTCCAGCCTCAAATCGTCTTGTTTGAGCGCGCGCACACCACATTTACGGTTGAGAAGCCTCTCCCAAGCGTAATCTATCCCGCATCCCAGCGGCGATACCAATCCCAATCCTGCTCGAAACAGTTTTCCATCGATTCTCTTGCCGCCGGATCCTTACCCGTAACAACGACGCGCCGCTGCGAGAGGATCGGAGGCTCTCCAAAATCCTTGATCGACGAGGACACAGTGCTCGCGGCTCTCGCGCGCTTCACGGAGAGGAACCTCCGCATTCCCGAGCCCTAAACCCTAAGCCCCAGGACACGTGGCATCAGCTTCTTGAAACACATGGCTAAAGTATAGCCGTTGAGTTTCAAAGCTGGATCTTTGATAGATAGTAAGGCAAGCCCATCTCTTGCAAGGGGATGCCCAACGCCGCTAGTTTAACCTCGAAAGCCTTGACGATAGAATCGTGTGCCTGGAAGAATTTGCGAAGAATGAGAAGAGTTGTCCTACAAAGAATTAAAGCTCGTTACCTTTGTAACTCTTCCAAGCTCGTAATAGAGAGACTTGATTTGCTGGTTCTTGGTTTCTAACACCTTGTCAAACTTGTAGTCCACTTTACCGGGTTGGAGTTTCCCGGCGAGTGATTCACCAAGTTGAGCCTCCTGAAAATTTATAAAATGAGAGAGATCACTAAAAGATGTAGATCAAGTACCTTCTTTTCCAGTTGTTCTTGGACAACATGGAGCTTCTTTTCCAAGAGCATGCTCTTAAGGCCACACTTCTGTTGGACATCGAAAATGCAAGACTCGAACCTGGCGTAGAGATCGTCTTTATCTTCTTGAACCTGGAGAGGGGAGTATAAGTTCGTCATGACGAAGTATTGCTTGCTTTGCCTTGTCCATTTTCTCTTGTAGGCTCCGGTACTGCCATTCAAGATGTTTTATCTGTTCGAGGGTGTCGGCGTAATGAACTCTCAGCTGTTGGAGCGCTTGTCTATCCTGGTTGAAGTTCAAGAGCTAAAAGTCCTCCACCAAAGATTAAAAAATTACCTTTTCCAAGACTTGAATGTGCTTGCGAAGTACATCCAGTTCTTTCAGGGCCTTCGTCAGGGGCTCCATTGAATGCTTATTTTCCTGAGCAATCTCGTACATGAATTTCTCGTTTGCTTGCTCTTTCTTCTTCATGTCTGTAATGTCTTCCTACAGGCAAAGAAGCGGCAATTATAGCGAATACGACAGCTTGACGAGATGTTTGGTACCTTGAGCGTCTTGATGAGATCTAAGTTGTTCTGCGTGATGTCATTGTAGTAGAATTTAATATCCGCAAAGGCTTTTTCGTGCTTCTTCATGAGCTCAATAATATGCTGATTTTTTCGTTCTTCGATCTCATGAACTTCCTGCTTCTTTCGGAGTTCCGAGTCCTCCTCGATTTTCTTGCACTGCACACGTAGACAGAGTGAGCAAGCACCTGATCAAACCGCACTCACCGACTTTTCTTTCATTACTCTGAACCAAGTCCTTAGCCTTCGCGTCATACTCTTGCCTGATCATGCTAATTTCTTTAGCGTGATCCTGATTGCACACCGCTCAGCCACAACAAAAAAAAAAAAAAAACATTTTGAATTGCGCTACTCACCAGCTTGAGCTGTCTGATCGTATCTTCGTATCCAAGCTCCACCTCCCTGATCTTAGATTTTAAAAGACGCTGTTCATCCCTACAAAAGTCCGACCCTTTACGAGATATGATATGCAACGCGTTTTTTTCACACAAAAGAAACCTTACAAGAGCTGATGCTCTCGCGTTGCGGCTTGTTCAGCAAACAGCTTCAACGCGATCTCATTGTCACCTTTCACTGCCCCTATGATACCTTGCTGCTCGTACTGAAGATGTCTGGTCTTTTGATTGAAAACCTGGGAGAAAAAAAAAGAAAAAAAAGAGATAGAATCATCCAGAGAATAGTCATCCTCTCCCTACCTGCATTTGCACCCGATGCCTTTCCTCGATGCCCTGGATGTCATGATCTTTAATGAACAGCTCCGCTTTGCATTGGTCAACTTCCTTCTTTTTGAGTTCATAGAATGTGTTGAGCTTGTCCTGGAAACATAAGGTGTTTACAAAGTTAGAACACGACAGCGGAAGGAAGAAAAGTGTCGAGGAAGTATACTTACACGCTCAATCTGGACACGGTTGCGTGCCCGTTCCTCCTTTTCCTTTTCGGCATTTAGAGCACGAATTTTGCCTTCGAGCTCCTGTGTGCTGGGGGCAGCAGGAGCCTCTTCCACAGCCGGCGCGTGCTCCTTACCTTTGGGCGCCATGGAATGCTAAACTGCAAAACCTACGAGTGTTGCTTGAGAGCTCATCCCCAAGCAACGTGGCCGGCTGAAGCTGATGTGGCCAATACAGTTATGTGTCTTTTTCCGAGAACAAAGGAAGAAAAGAGCAGACTTACATTAAAGCATTCGAGCGACTTGCTCGTACAGATCGTGCGGCCAATTTCTGGGCACGGTGTTTGCAACAAAGTTGGCGATCTGCGCAGACAAAACTGTTAATCGTTTCGCGAAAGCAAGAAACTGGTTTACCTTAGCCTTGAGAGTACGCATATGGCCATCTCTATCGGGAACATTATCAAGGCAGATCAAAGCCGCCTTGAGAAGATCAGGCACACAAGCTTGAACAGGAGGAGATATGCTTCTCAGGTCTTCGGCACTCTTTTCCGGTGTCCATGGAGTCAGTGGAAGAAATGACAGCCTGGGAAGCTCAGCGATCGCGTCCGGATATCTCCCCAGGCGAAACAGTTTGTGGAACGCTACGATTCCTTCAAGTTGCCGGAAGGAAACTTGCTGCTCTGTTACTTGTTCAGCCTCTCGCGAGCTGCAAACTCATGAAATTGTTAGTAGCCAAAATCACGACCAAATGGCCGGTACCTTCCAGTTCCGCTTCCAGCTTGCTTTTTGTAAGTCTCCGCAATGTCGTTCCCAGCAAGGATAAGGCCTGCAACTTTGGCCTCTCCATCTGCACGGCCAGTGGCCAGTGCGCAGATTGCCTCAGAAAGCCTGCGAGTTACTATTTCTAGAGCCATTGCAAAGGCTCCAACACGTTTCAGCAATTCGATAGCCTGGAACAAAATTTAAAAATCAATACAGACTCGACGAATTGCTACTTTACCTTCTCGTAAAGGCCTGACTCTTGAGCATGTCGTGCAGCTTCAAGTAACATCTGCTGCTGCATAGTGGGATCGGGCAAAAACCTTCTCAACGCACCTTCCGACCCGATGCCGTTTGAGCCTAGCAGAAGTGCAATACCACCATCTCTTAGAAGAAGCTCGATGAGTAGCTGCTTCAACATCATGTTCCTTTGCCTCTGCTGATCATTACTGTTCTGTCCGCTCCAGGAAATAGCGCCACCTCCAATGGCAGCAGCAGCCTGAACGTAGTACTCCAAAGCCGTCGCAAGGTTGTTTTGCCGGACATATGAAAGTCCATAGTGTCGGATGATGCTTGTGATTTCTCCAACCGGACTCATTGTTCCAGGCTTTGCTTTGTTCGACGCGCCTTCTGAAAGGACACCATGATCTGCCAAAGCAATGGCTATATGCACACCGTCTATATGGTCCCCGTCGTTGCTGATCTCTCTTGTAAGATAAAGGATGGCCGCCTGGAGTTGTAAGCTTAATAGCAGAACGTAAGGATAGACCAAAGGATCTTTGCCGTTCTTAGTATAGTACGATGGCTCGAATTTGGTCAGGTAGTTCTGCAAATCCTCCAAAGTATAAGGTACTAATCCATCTTGGGGTCCTGGACAGCAGTCCCGAGTAATAGAAAGCATAAACCACATAAAGTCCTCGATCGTAGTGAATAGCACAGGAATGTCCCGTAGAAGACGTTCAGCTTGCTGCCGGCTACCGGAAAGAACAGCATATAGAAGCATCTTCTTCTTATCGTATCCAGCACGACCTGGCCTGTCCCCAATCCGTGCCATTTTTTCACATTCCTCAAAGGCGGCCGTTGCAGTAGCAGAAGATACTGCTCCTCCCGTGGCGATCCACTCCGTAAGCTGCAAGTTTGCTAATCAGTAGCAGCGCAATAGAACGTTAAACGTACCAGTGGAGCATACGAACGGCTAGCTCTAGACGACTGCGCCACAAGTTTGGCTTCCTCATAATAACCAGATCGGAGGCAAAAATAAATCTGCAAAACCAGTCACACAATAATCTGCTCAGTTGTTCGAACTAATTGCTTTAGCAGTACCTGGTACCAAGTAGTATCAATTGGCGGTTGCCTATGTGTATCAGTAGCATCGAAGTCTAACAAACCATAATCTCTTAGCCGGACCTAAAGAAACTCAAACACGTCAGGTAATCTTTTGACACAACTTAAGAAGATACGCACGCGCAAAAAAGCTCGTACACGTTGTAAGTTTCCAGTAGATCCTCCAAGTGCTGCCTGTTAGAATCCGTAAGCAAACATTACGTTCTTGCAACAGATCAAAGGTCACCTGAGCAGCATGGCTTTGTATTGTGTCCAGCATATACTTTTCATGACCAGCTTCCAAATGGCGGCGGGCACCAAAAACCATTTTCATCTTTCTACTAAGATGAGATGGATATTCGAAGTCCTCACCTAAAAGAGACTGACAACGCGGACAAATGTAAGAATGCTTCAGTTCTAAAGGAACCGCATACCTGAAGGAGATACCAGATTTTGGCCATGTTCACAGATTTTGTACCCATTTTCTCATCAGCAAACGCCAAAAACGTGTCTTTCAGAGTGCTCGCAACCTGCAAAACATTACAAGAAAGATAACGTTGCACACCAAAAAATGTTGCATACATACCTTGAATGGTTCACTTCGTTCTCTTGCAGCATTAAGCTTCGCAACTGCTTCAGCGTACCCCGCAGCCTTTGCATTCACCACTTGCGACGGAGTTGATAGAAACGGGTTTGGTGCGCGCATATCAGGCAAAGCCTTCACCGCAGAAGAGTCGAGAACACCAGAAACACGACTGGCTTGTTTCCCGGGAGTGCCAGAAGAAAGTGGCAATCGACTCAAGCTATTCAAAAACTCACGCTTCTCTTTTTGCCAGTCATCCTGTAGAAAGTTCCGTCAGATAGCGAATACTAAAACACGACGTACTTCCAGTGACTTCATCATGTAGTCATCGAAACTTCGAACGTTGTCTCTTTGAGAATTCAAAATCGCTGTAAGCATTGACATTTCATGCACCTAAGGCAAGAAAAAGAAACTGTGAAAAATCAGAAAGAAATCCAGTAGACCACACCTGCTGTAGATACTCCTCCACGGTCGTCGCTTCCACAGGAAAAACATCTTCGAAGCTTGTCTATGGAGAGAAAGAAAAGAAAAACAATCAGCTCTAAACGAAAAGTCTCAGTCGCCAAACCTTGAGCTCAAACGCCTTTAACTCTCTCGCAAGTTGATCGGCATTTATGCCTTCTCTCGCTAGTAATCTATAGCAACACCCAAGCCGCTAAACCAGAAAAGAAAAATTCCCGCTTACCGAGTAGCGGCAATAGATTGGCCAGTGGCATCGTAGCGATTCGTCCGGGCCTTAAGCTGGCGCGAGAGAGACTCTAGCTGATCCAAGCTCCTCTGTGCAAGCAAGAGAGAAGCCCCGAGAATCAAAATGCAGGCCACAAACGCAAAGATTTCTTGCCTGGAGCGGTGGAAATGGCGCCGCCGGCGCGGCAGATTGCAGCAGCTGCGACGAGTTCTGGAGAAGATCCGCCCAGCTGCGCATGTCCTGAGAACCCCCCATCGCGAGCGATAAACCCTAATGCCGCAAACCCTTAAACAAATGTTACTTCTTATTACTTAGAACGAGGAACGATCACACTCTCTCGACGAGAGACGAGGGCTCTGGACGACAGCCCAGGGAATAAACCCTGCGAATCTTTGGGAGGCCAGTGAGCGTCATAGCCTCCTGGAACGAAGAGCCGCGGAGAAGAAGCCTCGGGACAAAGTTCTTCTTTGACGAGTTTTTGGCCACTTCCACCGCGCCTTTGTTGCTTTCGTTCTCGTCTTTGGAACGTCCCAGCTTTAGCGGCTTCTTTCGACTGTGGAGCAAAGCCACGGCGGTTCCAAACGCTTGGAGCGTCGACAATGGCTGCTGGAAGCTCACAGAGAATGTATCGTCGTCATAGAGTGGCGACAATCTGAGAGCTACCTCGTGTTTCTTTGCCTGGCAAACAAACACAAAACTTGAGCCACCAAAGAAAAAAACAAGGCTTGTTTCTGAGCTTACCTGGAGCACTACGTTGATCCCACTACTTTGCTCTTGAGCAGCCTTTGCCGAGCACCTCAAAGTTTGCTGGTTTTGGAGTAGAACCAATCCACAGCCCAAGTCCCAGCTTCCACAGTCGCATTTTCCTCCACCCCTCCACCTTTCGAGCAAAGGCAGCGGACCGGGGAGTCCGTAAGCCGGGCAGCCATGCTCGCCGGCTGGGAGAACCACCGTAAGGCTCATCTTCTCGTAAGTTTCTTCGACCAAGCCGAGAGGATTGTTTCTCTTGAGCCTGCTCTCCCAGCTACTAAGTTGGCTGTTGGTGCTGTTCGATCGCTTCTTCACTCCGATCGGAACTCTCGTCACCACCGCCGCGACCTCCACAAAACTCGTCCGGCTGGAGAAGCTCCCTCCCGTCTCCGACCCTCTGAACGAGAAAGAGTCGCCTAGCTTTGAGCCTTCCTTTCTGTTGTGCTTGAGAAATCCAACCGAGGACCAGTGCTTTCCCGGTGTGCCAGACTTCTCCGCTACTCGAGGAGACTCGGACGAGCTGCTCGTGACACAACCGGGTGATTCGCTCGGCGTTGCGTCCCACGAAGAAAAGCTGAGCCTCCTGCTGGAGCTGACAGCAAGTTGCTGCCGGGGGCTGCTCATCGCTACTTGATCTTTCCCACGGGCCTCGAACAGCACAAAGTCCGAGTCCAAGTAATGTCTGTTCCTCCCGCCGCGATCCATCTCGGGAATCACAGTGCTGAAGATCTTCATCTTGCCGAGGACTTCCACCGCCGGCTTGTCTTTCTTTCCCCACTGCCTCCACCCCGATCGCTCTTTTCCCTTGCACTTGTACGAGGAAAACACGAACACCTGGTCACAAAGTTCCTGGTCCTCTGATATGTCCTGGCTTGCGGTCTTCGCGACGATCAACTCCTCTGTATCGTCCAGCCATAGGTTATAGCTGATGTCTCCATCTTTCGCTAGACACTGAAGAGACCCCTTGACGAACTTGGCCGGCATGATCGAAGAACTCCGCTGCTGCTTGATCGCAAAAGCTTGCTCGGGCAGTAAACGATGGCGGCTCGCTTTGGACGAAACCAGCACAAGCGACCGGCATGCTACCTCGGGAATAAAACTCGCTGCTCTCGCTGTGAAACGCTGCCTTTGGAAGAATTCCAGTTCCTTCTTCGTATCCTTCCCAGCAGTAGTAGTGGATGATGTCGATGATCCTTGGAAGACGTCGAAAGATTCGGCGCTTCTCGAGCCATTCCCGGAGGAATTCTTCTTCGATCCACTGTTTCGTCTCGAGACTTTCCTGTGAGCGTTGAAGAAATCAAACTTGCCAAAAACACTGCCAGCTGACTCGGTGCTCGGCGACGAGCATTCCACGAAAGTGTTTTCCAGCCTCCGCACTGTTCGTCGAAACCGGACGCTCCGCAACGCATCCAAGTCTCTTGGGTCGTCGTGATGCGAGCTTCTCTCATCGCTGCTCGCTACTGCCGAGTGAAAATCCGGTGAAGAGCTCGGGAGTGGCGATCGGAGCGTCGAGCTGATCATCGAGACGGGACTTGGCGGATGCCGGTGATCAAACACCGAGAAGGCGTTCGTCCTAGCACGACGACCCAGCAGCATACCTTGGGCCCGATCACTACTCTCGCAGGAATTGCAGCTCATCCTGGTATCATCCTGCCTCAGCGCTTCCTCCGCCTCCACGAACACTTGGTCCTCGAGCCTGTCCAGGATTTGCAAGAGCTCCGAGCACGTCTCTCCTTGCGGCGAACACATGATGGCCGAGTTGAAATTCCTGAGGATGCGTGCAAACACGGACTGGTTGATCACGGGAGAGATCTCTTTCAGCAGCTTGTTGGCATTCTCCAGGCAGTGGATTTCCCCCAAGAACTTGCGCAAGCGATGCTCCTGGCTTTCTTCTTCTCGCAGCTCGGGCTTCTTACTCGGAGAAATCACTTCCATAGCCGGGCCTCAGCTCTCCCATTTGGCCCCCGAGAAGAAAAGCTCTGGATTTCCACGAATCATCGCTGCATCGCAATGGAAAGAGAGAAATTTTAGGACCGGTCTGGCAAGAATGTCGATCGAAACAGCTTCAGTGCAAGAAACTCGCTAACGGTAAGGGACGCCATACCTGATGATCACTGGATCGATCGGAAGAACAAACGCGGGCTCGCCATAGCTGCCTGGAAGTAAAATTTTCTCGATGGAGCTGGATCATCGGCGCCAGCGACAAGCCGGTATCGGCATTGCTGCGATCGATCGCTCGCTCGCTCGCTCGCTCGATCTACCCTTTTTCCCTTTCCCTCCCAAGCGTTTCTTGAATTCAGGGCAAGGTAAAAAATGCTTGTTACCGCGGAGGTAAAATCCGTGTCGTCGAGTAGAAACAGATATAAAAGTCAAGGTGAAAGTGAGCTTGACGGGCAGTGACGCGCAGGTAAGGCGGCAATTGACGGCGGCGTGGTTGGGGCGTGGTTGGTTATATTCCAGGACGCCGTGAAGAATCATTGGCTCCCGGGCATCACATGATAAAAGTGACCGCCCGTCAAGAAGTGAACGTTAAGCTTCTTCACGCCCGTCGGGGTGTCCTTGTAACGAATTTTTGGGCCGTATGTGGCATCAAAGATTACGGATGTGGTACAGTATATTGGACCACGGTTAAATACAAGATCTATTTTGGCAGGATAGTTACCGCATTTACGAGCCTGATATCTTGCACACGTGGCGATCTCCCGCCCGTCGACGCTGTTGCCCCAAGAAGTTAATGGGTAGCATCGCCAACTTTGAATGCCACAAGAAAGTTTTTAATGTTGGTGGAGGCTGAGAAGACTCGAAAGGTTTAAAGGAGTTTATTTAGATACGCATAGACTTCTTCCATTCTTCCATTGCGTCAAAGATTTTTGGCGTCACTTTGTCATATTGCGGGGCGGCGGGGACTGTGCGCGTTCGACTCCTCTCGCCAACACCGACTAAATTAAACAAATTTTCTTAAGGTCGTGGGGTCAATGGCCTGATTGATCATTGCATGCCTCGACCCTAGAAAAGAACCATGCAATTATATTATTTGCATCGTGGTGGATTCGAAGGTTAAAAAAACTCGGGATAGCAACTCTTCGGGAGCTTTAAATAAGGTTTTGGAGGGAATTTTTGATCATGGGCAATTTTCGCAGTCACGCAAAGTACCGGAGGCTGACCGGCATTTTTGGGTATTTGCAGAGTCAAAAGGATTAGACTATACCAGCGATTCAAAAAAATTTAAATCCTTACGTAGAGCTCGACCTATAATCTGAGACTGTAAGTACATACATTTTCAGCAAAGAAAGCTATCATACTGACCCACTGATCACTGGCTGCAAGAAAAGAGATCCATCATCCAATCCAAAAAATGCCCTTTGGGGCACATTTCCCGCTCCCTTTTCGTTTGAAACAAAGCTGCCGCTCAAATTCGAAAATTTTGTCCGGGAATCTTTCTGTTGGGCGCTGTGCATTTTAGGGCTGACAACGACGGCCACGATCGACGGCTCTGATGGAAGCTCTGTTTCTAGGGCTTGCGAGCTAGGGCTAGGGCTCGAGAGGAGAAATGCAAGCGCTGAGGGCCACCGTAGCTGTGGCGCGCAACGCCAGGCCATGGAACAAGGCGCAGATCCGTGAGATTCATCCGCGCGATGCCGAGGTAAGGAGCTTTTCGATCGATTGGAGATTGATCGCAATTGCAGCTCTTGTCCCCGGATCCAGCCCTCGCTCCTTTCAAGAGCAATAAACCCACAGCGAAGAAGATGCAAATGGTGGGCGATGCTACAATTGTTTTGCTAGGACTGGGTAAGCACACCCATTTCGTTTTCTTCCAACTCTTGGAGCTTCTCAATGCCCTTCCTTTTTTTTTCCAGGCTTTCTCTACGAGATCCACTATCGATGGCAGAAGAAATGCGACGAAGCAAAGGAATCGACGTAAACTGTGTACAAATTCTAAATAAAAAAGAAAAAAAAGAGGAAAAACGCTGCTTCACAAGCACTCACTTTTTTTTTTCTCTTCACTGCTACTAGCCTATGCTATCAAAATTTTTTGGACATCCTCGACTTACATTTAGAACGAGTTCACCCTCCTCAGCTCCACTCGCCTGGCCTTGGCGTTTTTCTTGGAACGTTTCAGCACCGTCAGCATGTCTATCACCTGAGAAAACAAAAACAATGGTTTTCGATTTCGATCGAGAATCTGGCGTACCTTGGCCCTGTACCTCGCATCCTCGGCCTATTATCATAAACCCAGCGAGAAACCACTCTCTTAGAAGTTAAAACTAAGCAAAGCTTCTCTTTTACCTGTTGCCTCTTGAGCTTGTCATTCTCTTCTTTGAGCAGCGTTACCTCTGCTTCAAGCTCTGCTGTGTAAGCCTGGCGATCAAATAAGGCAAAAGAAAAACAGAAGGAGCAAATTTTTAGAAAAGAATCCAGCCAAAGTCTTTAAAAAGTTGGATTTTTACCTGTTTCCTGGCCCTGGAACGCGCAGCCGACTCTCGGTTCTTTATCATCCTCCGCTGCCTTCGCTCGGCAACTTTGTCCACGTACTCGTCCGGCTTGTGGAAGGCGTCTCCGTAGGAAAGGACCTGGCCACCGCTTGGAACCATACAGCATTCCTCGATCTTGGTAACGAAAGCTCGCAATCTTTTGGAGCTGGAATTGGCGGCGCTGGGATCCATTCCCTGCATGTAAGCTAGTTCCAGATCATCCCTCTCGCGCTTGTGAGGAGCAGGCCCCAAGTCTGGGAACGTCGATACAATCCCCGTGGGAGCGCTGTCGGCCACCCCCGATTTGACGAGGAATTCCTCCAGCGTCATCTCCCCCAGCGTGCGCTGTGGAGCGATGCCGGACTCCGGCGCTCCCGTGGACGACGCTGCCGCTGTGCTCGTGAGCTTACCCTCTTGGATTTCCCTCCAGACCTCCTCCACCGAGAGCTTGATCTCGGACGAGGAGGGATTCTCCTCTTCCTCCTGCTCGGACGAGGAGGGGAGCGAGGGCTGCGACTCCTCCTCGCCCGTTGCCGCCACCAGCAGCTCGTCGATGTTCATGGATGAGAGCTTCTTCTCCGGCACGCCAAAGCTCTTGAGATCGTCCAAGACTGGCCGCACTGGCGAGGAATTGAGATACTCGGCGCTCACGGCCCCCATTTCCCCTCAAGAATCGGAAAGATTCCAAGACTGCTCGATCAAGAGGCGAAATCTCGCGATTCCTAGCGGCAGCTCGCCTCGCAACCGCATTCCCGCCCCTCGATCCAAGAAAGCATCCCGCGACGCTGCGATTGCATGCGAGGCGATCGATTCCACTGCCAAAGAAGAGAAATTCCGCTACGGCATTTGGAGCCAGAGGGATCGAGAGGGCGGAAGAGAATTGCGACAGGAAACGGGAAAGACGAAAGAAAAACCCTAGGGCACCCTAATTAATATGGCAAGTAAAATTGCCCGCCATAGCCAGAGCTTCAACATAAGAAAAAAAAAAAATTTCGTGAAAGAGACCACTCCAAGAACCCTAAAATTTATCTCTTGAAGGTTTAGGGTTTTGGGGAGCGATGGCGGACACCGTCAATGCCTACCTCGAGCGCATGCTCCCGGAGCTCGAGGATCTAGAGAAATGGGGCCTCTTTACGCGCTCGGAGATCAAGGAGGTCGTGCGCCGGCGGAGGGAATTCGAGTATCATCTCAAGCGGCCGTCGAGGATCCGGGACGATTTCTTGCGGTATGTGGATTACGAGACGAAGCTGGAATCGCTGCGACGGCTGCGAAAGAAGGTCGTGGTTAGGGATTTGAATGCCGCCGGGAAGAGATGGAGCGGGCATATGTCCGATGGGGCAAGCGCGATCAGGATTATCAGCATTTACAAGCGCGCAGTGGCGAGATTTGGTAGCGACATGAGCTTGTGGCTGAAATTCTTGGAGTATTGCAGGAAACATTCTCCCAAGCAAATGCGTCGGGTGAGCGATCGTGTTTATCATTTGTAGCTCTTTACTTATCTCCGCATTCTTACAGGTGCTGGCAAGAGCTCTCCAGCTTCATCCCAATATCCCAGGATTGTGGATGTATGCCGCGTCCTGGGACTTTGAGCACAATCTCGACGTCTCTGCTGCTCGAGCGCTCATGCAAAGAGGACTTAGGATGTGTCCTCACTCAGAGGATCTGTGGCTCGAGTACTTCCGCATGGAACTCTCTTACGCTCAAAAGCTAAAGTCGCGAATGCTGGTGCTGGGCATCGAGTCCGAAGAGATCGACGCTGGAAAGGAGCAACGAGAGAGTGATTTGAGCGTGAAGCTGGCGTGGGTGATATTTAAGAATGCCATTGTTGCGGTTCCATCCAGTGCAAGGTTTCGGCAAAGGTTCGTCGAAGTTCTTGACCGGTTTGCGCTGGTGAAGTCGACTATCGCAAACGAGATCTACGCAAGTATGACGAGGGACTTCCCGAAGGACGAGAATTGCTGGGACTGGAAAGGAAAGTATAAATTCCAGACAACAAGCTCTTGGAAGGATGCTGTGAAGGTCAGTGCGATCTGTCTTGCGGTGGCATCACATCTTCTTACCATCTATTTCACAGGTTTATGAAGAAGCAGTGGGTGTTGTTTCGTCGGCTCGGATGTATGAGCTGTATGCAAAGTTTCTCGAGGGATTGCTGGATTCTGGAGACAAGCGAGTTCCTGAGTCCCTTCTTGAGCTCTATGACCGTGGTGAAGAAGTTTGTGCGAGCATAAACTTTTTGGAAGGTCACGTTCGCTTGCTGACGAGAAATGGCTTCCTAGACAGGGCAAGGGCCCTTACTGAGCAATTCTGCAACGGTCCATTACGTTCAAGCTCCAGGCTATGGGTGTTGAGGCTTACGTTGGAGATTCAACACGGCGGTTTACAGATGGCTGACATTTCTAAGCTGTTTTTGAAAGCCTTGCAGTTAGTCCAGGCCTCAGAGGGAAAGGACATCTGGAAAATGGTATTTTTATTGTTATCCTGTATGCTTTAGCGCTGACAGTTTTCTCCCGGCAGGCTTTGGAGTATTTTTCCGGAATGGACACTTACCTTGACATAATACTACGGCATCTGGAAACTGCTCTCGGGGGCAAAGGTGGCGGCCAGGAACTTGGTGCTGTCGCTTGGTCTGCAGTAAGCTGGTTCTTACATTTCGACGGTGTTGAAAAGGCTCGGCAGCTCTACAATAGGTACACTTTGATCCAACGGTTTCCGGCTAGGAACCAACACTTCCTTTCAGATTTTTGGTGCTACCAGGTCCAAGTCTTTATTTATTCAAGCGATGCATTGGCCTCGAGGCTGAAAGAGGAGCACTTGGTGATCAAGAAGCAGTAAAATGCATGCGGAGGCTTTTCGACGCTGCGCTTGAAATATATGGTAGAGAAGATGTTGGCATTTGGTTGGATTACTGTGCTTTGGAAAAGAAGGTACTAGATATCATTTACTTAATCTCCCGATATCAAAACTTTTGACCAGGTTGGGAATGCTTCTAATGCAAGTACCGTGTACTTCCGAGCGAAAAAGACATTAAGTGACCCGTCTTTGTTTATACAAAGACACCAGCTTTTGTTTGCATGACTCATGAGGTTGGTTCGTAAATTTTATCCACTTGTTTGACATAACCTTGCAGATGCAAGCAAACAAAGGTGAGAAACCAAATCTGGAGCTGTTTTGCAGAAGCTCTTATGGTTGAGCTAGACTAGACTGCAAACATCTAACAAGAGTAATACAAGAATGGCGGATTTAGCCGGTAAACTCCTTCCGAAGTTGGGATATTGTCTGCTCGTTGAGTTTGAAGGATTTTTTCAGAACTTCGTCGGAGATACCTGAGCCGAAAAGCGTAGAACCCAGCCGCTCAGCACCAGGATTCTGGCTGTTAAACACAGCCAGGAATTGAGCCGGGTGCGCATCGTCCAAGTTAATCTGAAAATGGACAAGGCCTCTGGGAAAGACGAAGACGTTCCCCTTTTCGAGTGTTCTCGAGAAGAGGTTATTGCTGGACACAAATCCCGCCTGAACCTTACCTTCGAGAAGGAAGAAAACTTCGGTTGAGCGTGGATGGACGTGTGGGGAATTTACAGCTCCAGGTCCCATTTCACCCCGGGCGAGACTTATCCCGGCGGTGTTGAGGCCTGGAAACTGTTCGACGTTGAGGAGGGTGACAACGAACACGTCAGGAGTAGTGACGGGCTGGACAGAACTTAGAAGACGCGAGATGAAGTCTTCCTCGGACACCGTTTTCTTACAAGCGAAGCCATTAATGGAGACCGTGGAGTTGAGATCTGCAACACACAGGTTTTGAAGAGGATCCGGGTCACTGGCCAGGACGGATACTAACAACAGAGAGCAAGCAAGCAGGAGAGAAGTAGCCACACGGTCCATGCTGCTGCAAAGATCTAGATCAGGTCCCTTTTATTTCCAAGGTGAAAGACTAGTTCCAACCTGGAAGACTAATTCGAACATGAAAGACTAGTTCCAACGTGGGATGCGGAGTCGACACTTCATTTCAACTTTGCTCCAGTAATCTTTGTCAATGTACTTGTGCTGACAAAACTTTGATACAAGTCGCTATCCGTGCAACGCTCGGATTCTTAACATCAAGTAAAGGTAGTCAAGTTGGAGGTATGGTTCTCTACGTCGGGGATTCTGGCGCCAAGAGTTTGAGAGAAACCGTGCCGCCAACCTTCATGGACGAAGCCAACCATCAATTCATCAACTGGAATGACAGCGTCAGCGCCAAGCTAGTCCAGCCGTCTCTAGGCCGGGAAGCAAAGGCGTGGGGCGGAAAGTCTTGGGGCCTACGTCATTCTTCGCGCGGAGAAGCTTCCCTGCGCATCTGCGAGCCGCCGCCGAAACTATCGGGTACTTCATGCTTATAGTACTTCGACAATGCGAGGCTTTCTGGTCTTACAGCATTTGTTTGAACAGAGATCCCGCGTCTATTAGATCAAGACAACAGCTATTATATAGCACAAGGACGCAAATTCAAAAGCGCGTGTTTTTGTCACAAAATATACACGCTGACAGCTTTGACCGACAAGAAGATATTGAATGGTAGAGTCCACAGCGACGTACTTCTTGGTGAGGATCTCTACTTTATCTGTTCTAACACAAGCTTTTCCTTACCATCAGGGAGTAAACTTGTGCTTGAGCTCGTTAATGACGGACTGATTGAGCCTGAAGGATGCAGCGAGCACGGCATCTGGGATCCCAGAACCAAACAGAGTAATCTCCAAGCGCTCCACTCCTGGATTCTGGCTGTTAAACGTGGCGAAAATTGTTGCAGGAGTGGCTCCAACATTCCACTGGAAGTGGACGAGGCCTCGAGGGACAACAAAGAGATCGCCCTTCTGGAGCGTCTTGAGGAAGAGCTTGTTGGTGGTGTCCACAAAGCCGGCCTGGACGGTTCCCTCCATGATGTAGATGAGCTCGGTGGCTCGCGGATGGACGTGGGGTGTGTTTACTCCTCCGGGGCCGAGATCTACACGATTCACAGACAAACCCTGGGTGTTGAGAGCTGGAAGCTGCGGTACTGTGACTCGGGATGCCACAAATCCTCCTGGAGTACGCACTGGCTGGACGTTGCGAAGAACAGTGGAGGTAAAGTTGTCCTCGCGCGCTGATGCTGTTGTCAAGCAGGCTGCTCCATTGACACTGGTGGAGGAATCCAGGTCGGCGACACAGAAATCTTGCACAGGATCGGGGTCGGCTGCTAAGATTGCTGTGGCAGCGAGCAAGGAAAGAACAAGCGAGAGCAGCGCCATGTCCAGGTTTTTCTTTGATCTTTTTCTCGAGTCACTGATTATTTATAAGGATTGAGTACGAGACGGAAGCGTGTTTCTAGAAACTTTGAGATTCAAAGTCTCGTGTTTTACCTGATGCAAATATTATCATTATTAAATGCATTCAGAGAACTGTACGTTTACAATTAATATTAGTAGCCCATACGAAAATATACATTTAATTGTAAAATAAAAAATAAATCAAAATATGTATTAACCTTCAAATTAAATAAGTTCTCTTTTCATGTCCTGACCATGTAGAGTTCCATATATACTGAATGAACTCATCCTTGCACAAGGTGATCCACTGTGTTGTCTTAAAAGTAAATGGTTCTTAATCAAGACATGCAAACAAAAATCACCTATGCCATCTTGTCAGTGTAGTCCTCATATGCAAAGTTGAGTGCTTTAACCTTGCCAAAGAACCTAATAACTGCTTGGTCATAGGTCTGGTCACAAACCTATTATAATTAGAGAGTGAAATTATAGTTTTCTTAAACCTTGCTGCCTCCTCTTGTGTCTCATATGCCCCTCCACTTGGAAATGCAATATAAACAATGGCTCTTGAAACATAAAATAAAAAATTCACCAAGTCTTTTCTTTGATCTTTTTCTCGAGTCACTGATTATTTATAAGGATTGAGTACAAGACGGAAGCGTGTTTCTAGAAACTTTGAGATTCAAAGTCTTGTGTTTTACCTGATGCAAATAATATCATTATTAAATGCATTCAGAGAACTGTACGCAAAGATGTAACCCAATGTTAGAATGGGTGATGGTATGTGTCAAGACAAACCACAGGAATATTCTGAGAATATTCTATAACCTAGATTTAAACTCTAGTCAATGGGATAGTTTATAAAGTAATCAACAGGATGGTCTATAGGGTAGTCAACATGATGACTAACCCACAAATGCTTAATATTCGGGGAAGAAACATCCATTGCTCTATCAAGGCTCAAAAAGTAGAAATGGGAATGAAGTTAAAAAAAATTATTTGGACCAGCAAAAGAAAGACAACATAGAGGGCAATTGTTTTCATTATCACAAGGCTAAACATCATGGCAAGGATTGTCCTCTTGTGAAAGGATCAAAGAATGTTAATGTGAATATAGTGGAATTTATCATGGATATGGCTTAGGCATTTGTTGTGGTGACTTTTCCACATCTTGTGGCAAAAGTTCAAGAATCTAAGTTTTGAGTTCATATCAACTCTATAGAGCTCAATAGTTCTATATGCAATCAACTTGTGAAGGCTAAAAGGCATATTCAGGGTAATGTTGTTAGTATTATTTATAATCCAAGTGCTATATACAACTTTTTGAGCTCCAAAGTGGTGAAGAAACTTAATTTTCTTATGAAAAAGTGTTTAATAATCTATAAAGTAGTTATAGCAAATAGACATAGCACTCGTGTTTACGATGAATAAGCTTTGACTACTCCCTTAATAGTTAAGGGGATTCTTGACCATCCTTTATTCTAAATTATAGATTTTGGTCGCATAGATGTTATTCTTAGGAAGGAATGGTTTTATGATAGAAAGTGAAGGATTGATTAGGAGTGTAATGTTCTATATATCAAAGTTAGTGACACTATAAAAGAGATTGTCAAAATAGATAATAATGATACTCTATTGATTATTGCTTTGGAATTGGTGACTTGCATGCATGAGATAGCTAGTTCTTTCATAATGTACCCATTTCTTTCTAATATGATCATATCTAATTTAGAGTACGTTCATGGGTATGGGGCTTGAATGAATTACATTCAAGAGGAGTTCCATGACATATTTCCAAATAAGTTACTTGATGGCTTGCCTCATAAACGTGAAATTCAGCATGAGATTAACTTAGTTCCTAAAGCTACTCTTTATTAGTAACAACCAACTCATATTAGTCATGTTGAAGATGAGGAGATTAATAAGTAACCCTATGAGTACCTTCGGAAGTGGTGGTTGTGGATAAGTAAGTCTCCTTGGCTGCTCCAATAATGATGGTCAAGAAGAAAAATAGTATATAGCATCTTTGCGTGAATTACAAATTAAATGATAAAATAGTGAAGAATATGTTTCTAATCTCTAGTATCAATGATTTGCTCGATTGTTTTTCATGATGTTTAATATTTTTTGAAAATTGATTTAAGGTAAGGATATCATCATATTTATGTCAAGCTAGAAGATGTTCTAAAAACCATATTCTGGACAAAGACAGGTCATTACAAGTTTTTGGTGATGCCATTTGATTTAACAAATGCTCTTGTAACTTTTTAGAGATTAATGAATTAAATTCTACAACCTTACTTAGGAAAGTTGCAATTAATTATTTTGATAATATCCTGATGTTCAACTCTTCAGTGAAGGAACATGAAATCTATGTGCGAAATGTTTTGCAGCTTTTAAAGGACCACAAGCTCCAAGTGTGAGTTTTTTTAGAGGAGATTGAATATCTCAAACATTTTATTTCAATGTATGAATTGAGAGTTGATCTTATAGGTTGTGGTTAATTGGCCTATACTTTCGACAATGCATGATCTTTGTAATTTCTTTGGTATGATTGGAGTTTTTTTTATGATTTATGGACTTTTCAAAGATAATAGTGTTCTTAATATATACTATTTACTATTATTATATATAATTTTCTCCCCATCTGAGTTGGCCATGCTATGTGAGAGTGCTACTACTGGGCAGCCAAGAAATTTGGAGACCACTGCTGAGGAATCACACTCTCAATTGCAGGCATCCAATGCCAGTGCCAAGGGCAATGCTGATTCCCTGCCTCACACTACAGCTCGTAGTACCTGGCCGTGCCCAAGACAATCCAGTCGTCATAGCAGCCATATCCGCCACGTTGGACAAACGCGCTAGAACCCTAATTTTCAACCAAATGCGCGGCAAGAACTTGGCGCGGGAGGAATGCCTGGCGCTGCCGATCGAGCTTCTGATCCGGGAATGCACGAGCTCGGGTGTGCTCTGCGATGCGAGGCGGCTGCATTCGCAGATCGTGGCGAGCGGGAGGGATGTGAGACGGGACAAGTTCCTGGCCAATCTGCTCGTGCAAATGTATGGCGCTTGCGGGAGCGTGGAGGATGCCGCGGTGGTTTTCCGCAGCATCCAGCAGCCCAATTCCTTCTCCTACAACATGATGATCGCGGCGCTCGTCCGCAACGGCTGCATGAGCTACACGAGGGATTTGTTTGACGCATCGCGTCTCGTGTTTGATACGGTCTCGTGGAATGCCATGATCAAGGGCTACATCGACAGCGGATGGATTGACGAGGCGAGGCAGCTGTTTGAGCAGATGCCACACAAGAGCACGTACGCCTCGAATGCTCTCATTGCAGCATATGCCCGAACTGGGCAACCTGACGATGCCCAGCGCTTGTTTGAGACGATGATAGTGTCTGCCCGGCGTGATTTGTTCTCGTGGACGGGGCTCATGACCGCGTGATTTCAGGGTGGCGCCGTTTTAAAAGCAAAGAAGGTGTTTGATGCAATGCCCGTGTGGGACGTTGTGTCCTGGAACGTTGTGATATCAGCACATACCCAGAACGGGCATCTTAAGAAGGCAAAGGCTTTGTTCGACGATATGCTAGAACGAAGCACCATCTCGTGGAACGCAATGGTGCAGGCTTACTGCCGCAGTGGGTTTCTCGACGAAGCGTGGCTTTTGTTTGAGAGCACTCGCGACAAGAATGTGGTGTCCTGGACGGGTATGCTGACCGCGTTTGCTCAGAAGGGTTATCTGGGCAAAGCCGCCAACTTGTTCCACACAATGCCCGTTCGGAACGTAGTTTCTTGGACTGCTATGCTTCAGGTGCTTGTGCATCTGGAAGATCTCGATGAGGCGGTTGGCTTTGCCGGAAAGATGCCACAACACAACGACATGGCCTGGAATTCCATGATCATAGCTCATGCCCAGTACGGGGACACGAGGGCTGCCAAAGCCTGGTTCGATGGGATGAGCTTCCGGAATGGTGTTTCCTGGGCTGCGTTGGTGGTTGCATTCTCGCAAGGAGGATGCTTGGCAGAAGCGCAAGCCTCGTTTTCAAGGATGCCTCGCCGGGATGCGGTGTCGTGCAATGAGATGATACTTGCGCTCGGGAGTGCGGGGCTGATGCGAGACGCAAAGGTGGTGTTTGAAGAGGCGATTCTCGCGAGAGACGTTCTAACTTTTACTGCGATGGTGACGGCCCACGCCCGAGCTGGAAACGTGAAGGAGGCGAGACTTTGCTTCGAAAGAATGCCGCATCGCGACGTGGTCTCGTGGAATTCCATGATCCAGGCCTACGCCCAGAACGACTGCGTAGACGAAGCACTGGACTTGTTTGCGAAAACACCCGAGCCGGACCTTGTGTGCTGCAATGCCATGATCCACGCCTTTCCTCGTAATGGTCTGCTCGACGACGCAAGATCTCTCTTTGACAGGATGGCCACCAGGAATCTACTGACTTGGACTGGGATGATCGCCGCGTATGGTCAGCTTGGTCACGTCCAGAAAGCCATGCAAGTCTTCTCGAGCATTCCGGACAAGAAGGACGTGGTTGTGTGGACGGCTATGGTGGCGGCGTATGCCAACAACGGAGACATGGCAGGAGCTCGAACGGTGCTGGACAGGATACCTTGCCGAGACGTCCCGGCTTGGAATGCTGCGATCACGGGCTATGCCCTCAGCGGGTATCCCAGGCAAGCACTGGATCTCTTTGCCACAATGGACGTGGAAGGACTGAGAGGAAGCGAAGTAACTTATATCGAGGTCTTAGATGCGTGCGGCAACATGTCCTCTATCCGGCACGGGACAGAGATTCACGAAGGCTTGGCTGCTGGCTGCTCGGACAAAGTTGGCAATGCGTTGCTGAGCATGTATGGCAAATGCGGCCGGCTGGATCGAGCTTGGGAGATCTTCGTGTCCATGCAGCAGCAGCAGCAGCAGCAGAAGCGTCATGGCTGCAAGCAGGAGGAGCTCGTGTCCTGGAACGCGATGGTGGCGGCGTATGCACAGAACGGCCACAACCCCGAGGCGGTGGAGCTGTTTCGAGTGATGAATGTGGAGGGCGTGGAGCCGGACGAAATCACGTTTGTGAGCTTGCTGTCGGCGTGCAGCCATGGTGGGATGCTGGAAACCGCGAGGTGGAGCTTTAAGTCGCTCCTCCAGCGAGACTACCAGTCGGCTCCCA